CCAAACAATTCTCAGCACTCTTAACAAATTACATGATTCTTTGGGGAGACCCATGGCTGTTTATCATGGTATCATAGTGTCTGTTTTGGCTCAGGGTTTGGAGTCTGCAAGTTTAAAAATGACTTCTATTCCTCCCCTCTCTCCCCACACTTTGGATAACATTTGCAGGCATTTTAGCCCTTCCAGAGTGGATGAAGCCTGCCAAACCACCGGTAAATGCATTGTGTTGTTTTCTCACAGTCCCACAGTGTATTTGTTAGATTTGAGCTCTTCATGTAGTAACCCTTGAGCGAACCCAGGGCATCCTGCCTGTTCTGAGTAGTGATAACTAAAGCTGACACATAGTGCAATGCTATAGACAATTGAAGCACCCAGATAGGTTGCTCCTGCAATGACCCTTAGGCATGCAGCATTGTGGAAATAGTAATAGTAATAATAGTAATAGTAGTAGTAATAATAATAATAATAATAATAATAATAATAATAATAATTTATTATTTATACCCCGCCCATCTGGCTGGGCTTCCCCAGCCACTCTGGGTGGCTTCCAAAAAAAAAAAAAATAAAATACTGTAATACATCAAACATTAAAAGTTTCCATAAACAGGGCTGCCTTCAGATGTCTTCTAAAAGTTTGGTAGTTGTTGTTCTCTTTGACATCTGGTGGGAGGGCATTCCACAGGGAGGGTACCACTACCGAGAAGGCCCTCTGCCTGGTTCCCTGTAACTTGGCTTCTCGCAGTGAGGGAACCACCAGAAGGCCCTCGGTGCTGGACCTCAGTGTCCAAATACATTTCTCACAGCATAGCTAGACTGAAGCTGACCAATTCACAGCCCAGATAAAATGCCCGGATCTCGCCAAGCTCACCCGATGTCCTGAAATAGGCTGATAATGTTGTTCCTAACGTTAATCGGCATTAGCCACACCAGAGCCATCTTGTGACTTACAGCATCACAAGGAAAGCTGGTTGCCGACGAAATATGGTAGAGGCAAATTGGGCACCCTCCAGCTTCCTTCCTGGAGAATATGCTTGCACGAATGACGCTTCAGACAGATTGCCAGCTTTCCTCTGATCCTTGAGGTATAAACTAAGGCCAGGGTGAAATGTCATCATGGGTGTAAAAGCACGCATAGTGCCATGTTGACACTCAGACCCATAAGTCAGAGCTCAAGTGAAGGGTCAGCCATTTCAAATTTGATTCAAAAGCTGTGTTACTGGGTGGAGGATTCCGCCAGACGGAAGATATCCTCTCTCCTCTCCCCACATGGAGTGTTCAGGGGTGACGGCGGTTTCTTCCGACCTCCCCACAGAGCTAATTTCAGGGGACCCTGGGGGCATGGCTGGAGGAATTGGGGAGAAAGCCCCATTGTGCAAGCAGAAGTCCTTGCACACGGCTTCTGCTGATGGGGCTCCATTGGTGAAGTCCACCCTATATATGTGAATGCCAATCTCAGTAGCAGATGACTGTTGGAGTTCATAGCCTACGTGCAGCTTCGCAAGTGAGCAATTAGTGTTTTGACTACAGGCTAGGGCAGGCATTCCCAAACTCGGCCCTCCAGAGGTTTTGGGACTACAACTCCCATCTTCCCTAGCTAACAGGACCAGTGGTCAGGGATGATGGGAATTGTAGTCCCAAAACATTTGCAGGGCCAAGGTTGGGGATGCCTGGGCTAGGGAGACAGACCACGAGAGAAATTTGCCTGGAGATAAGAGAACCTAGTAACAGCTTGGTGATTGGCTGAGGTCTCTCATATGGGCAGCATGACCTATGACATTGTTTGGCTAGTAATGAGTAATCTGGAGTGCTTGGAGAGTGATGAAGTTCATGTCTGTGTATAGTAACTTGTATATAGCTTGTGAGTTTACTGCCGTATATAGTAAAGGTAAAGGGACCCCAACCATTAGGTCCAGTCGTGACCGACTCTGGGGTTGCGGCACTCATCTCGCTTTATTGGCTGAGGGAGCCGGCATACAGCTTCCGGGTCATGTGGCCAGCATGACTAAGCCGCTTCTGGTGAACCAGAGCAGCGCATGGAAACACCGTTTACCTTCCCACCGGAGCAGTACCTATTTATCTACTTGTACTTTGAAGTGCTTTCGAACTGCTAGGTTGGCAGGAGCTGGGACAGAGCAATGGGAGCTCACCCCATCTTGGGGATTCGAACCAGTGACCTTCTGATCGGCAAGTCCTAGGCTCTGTGGTTTAACCCACAGCGCCACCCGTGTCCCACTGCCGTATATAATAAACTACGAAATCAAGTTACTAGTCGTCAGCTTTGTTCCTGATCGTCGTCCTGACTGAGCAGCCTCAATCATTGCCTAGGAAAAGCTGCACTACTCTGCTAAGTTGGGCAGCATTGAAGAAGTTCAAAGGGGAAGAGACTGGTCCTAGTAGCATGCGAAAGGACTTCAGAAAGTGCTCACAGGCTTTGGAGTTTTAACAGTTGCTAGCTTGACTCCCCAGCACTTGAGGGTTGCTGAGAGGAGAAGGAGGGAGGTGCTGGGGCGTGGCAGAGGAGCGGGTCCAACTCTCCAAGCATCGCAACCACACTGTGCTGAGCTCCCCACCACTTCTCCCCTCTCCTTCTTGGTAACCAGCAGGGACTCTCAGCATTGGGAAGCCAGGTAAGCAAGGCAGTGCTGCCAATACCACTCTGCCAATTGCTACAGTTCAATATTAGAAGCTGCCAATCCCCCCCCCCCACTTTCCAATCTTCCGCTTCATTTGCACCATTTCCCTGGTTATCACGTCTTTCCTTATGTCTTAGTGTGACCCCAGCCAATTAGGGATCACACAGAGGGAGAGAGAGAGAGATACTTTTACAAAAAAGTACTTTGAGTTGCATGTTGACAAAAGAAAAATGCATCCCCCCTCTTCCATCTAGTACCCAAGCTGAAGGTTCAGATCTAAACAACAACAACAACACAACAACAACAACAACAACAACACTGGAGTGGAGAGATCCCCAAAATTGCTAATGTCAATGATAAAGAAGGCATTAACACAGCCCTATATCTGGGGATGGGGTCTTTGTGTGCTGGACAAACGTCCACCCTGAAAGACTTGAAAGTTCATTGCCCCCCCCCCCATAAAGTGCTATCTCTCAAATTACATTATACCATTTTACATTATACATTTAATTGGCTACTTCTTAATGGCAGCAAGAGTATCCATAGCCAGAAGTTGGAAAGGAGCAAAGGGTTTTAAAAGGTGATGACATTTCGGAGGGCAAAGAAACCTTCCTCAGAGCGAAGGCAATCAAGTTGGAAACCCTGTAGCCTCAGCAGCAGTCCCTGAAAAAAAAAATCACTTGAAGAAAAGGATTGATGCTGATGAAATGTTGATGAAAAGCTGCCCATGATGCTCCCCCTGTTTTTGGCTCAGCCTCACCTTAAGTCTGATTCCAGATCTTTTACTCCTAGAGCAATAGACCATAGGCCAAGCTATTAGAAATATTCGGTTTTTAATTGCTTGTCTTCGAGGAATACAGAAGAAGCTTTTTAAGCATTCCAAATAATTAAAGCAAAAGAGTGCTCAAATATAAATGTTAGCCAAGTGCAAGCTGATGTGATTAAACAGTTGCCTTTGCAGGAAAGTGGCCATGCTTCCTCCTCCATCTGCTAGGCAGGCAATCAGATTAGATTTATGCTGCATGCTTATTTTCCTCTTCGTAACAAAAAGGGGTAAGCCTTGTTTATTTTTCTAGTTATTACAAGGTGGCTAACAACTCTGCAAAATATATCGATCCACTTTCTTAAAAGGGGGAGATTTTAGCCTAAAAAAGAACAAAGCATGAGCCACAAACTGTAATATTTTACTCCAGTCAAATGGAAATGAAAAACCAAGACCATGAAGGGGGGGGGAAACCCCTCAATTGCAGCCCTTAAATAAAGAAAATTGCATTTATACTGGAGTTTGCTGAGAGTTAGAGCTACCAGTAAGTTCCCTGAAAACTGCTCTTCAGAATGAGTTTTGGAAAATTAGGTTAGTATCGACTTGGTTGTTAATAGCTGGCTGTTCCTTTTTAAAAATATTTATTTGGTTGTTTTGGTAAAAAGATTAAATTATGCTGAGAACGAGCTGCAAGTATGTGGATTTATATGAGGTTATTTGCAAATATATACCCTTCACACACTCTAAAACGTATTTCAAAGAATAATCTCTGAGCCTGGAAGGCTGCTGTGCTTGTTATAAAAGGCAAATAGATTGAGTTGATTTCTTAATAAGCATCTCACTTTCTATTTGCAGTTTACACTCCTCTTTCCCCCTGTAGGCAAAAGCCTTGGTGGTTTCAGTTCTGATTTCCGTGAGATATTACTGTTCAATAAAGGGTATTTTTTAAAGGGTCTGCTCCTCAGCTTATGTCAGGCTGACCTGTGAGTGGTTTGAAACAACTACTTGAGGCAACGAGATCACTTGCTCGCCCCCCATGTCTAAGCTGGGTAGTGCATTTTGAGAAATACAACATGGCGGCCATATGGCTCCCATGCAAACAGTGCTAATATCTGACTGGTGCGTGTGTGTGTTTGTGATTGATTGGCGACTTCTCCTCTGCCAAGACTAGTTCTCACAGTGCCCAATCAGATACCCATGTAACAGCACTCTCCCTGTTTTCAGTTGCGTGTCGAGGTCCCCAGGTCCACCCCAATAACTCACACATCACACAGAAATTTTTGTTTAAGATTTTGGCATAATTTTGGCCACAACTTTATTAAAATACAAATTTGTGAGTGGTTGCGTAGGCATTGGTTGCGACTATCTGCCCCCACCATGGGGGACAGACTGACATTCCGCACGATGCGAAAGTCAGAATGGGGGAATACACTTGGGGGTTACGCGGAGCAGGGAACCTGCCCTCACCCCAAATGCAACCAGGAGCTCATTGCTATGGCCCGAGCCCCCTTGACAGAGTGGACAAGCAATAGTTAGCCCCCAATTCCTTTAACGGAGTCCCTCGCAGCAGCAGCATTAGAGGGGCAGGCACTCAACCTACCAAGGGCAGGCACTCAACCACTGCCCCTCAACCAACCAAACCATAAACCAATGCCTAACCGCCACCGAGCACTCAAGCTCGCCGCCAACCACTCACAACTGCAACCCCACCTTCAAACCCAACACAACAGAATTTAACCATGTGTCATTTCCCAACGGGGAAAGATGCACACCATCGTCCCTGAAAAGGACGGCCTCCTTGAAGGTGATATTGGGGTGCGCAATCACGGAACCACCATGAGCAATGACTGTTTTCATTGCCACCTTATTAACGCGCTTTCTGGCTCCTTCAGTGGCAGCTGGACAGCGACTGCCACGCCAGGTGCGCCTCTGCAGCAACTGGGACCAAAAAACTTTCACACCTGGTAAAAACTCTGCCAATTCAACTAAGTCCCTTTGAATTGTAAAGCGTAAAGAACAACAGTCTGTGGCGGGCAGATTGTTTTCCCCCAACTGGAGCACGATAGCTGAAGGGGGCCCTTCCAACTTCACGTGCTTCCGAACAAGGGGAAGCAATTCGGCCCACAGCATTCCACGTCTGGTCAGCCAGGACACCTGCACGTGATGAGGCAGGCCAAGACTGGGTCCAAGTCCAGACTCCCTCGCTCTGATGCTGGCCCAGTGGACAATGCTGTGGCCATCCAAATGCGAACAGCCGCCACACCTAAGAAAGACAAGCAAATGTAAGTACAAGCAATCAACGACGGCTATGCACATAGCCGTGAAACGCATTAGACTTCCAACGACCCATGTTCTTAATTCTTTCTACAGACAACCCCCAATGAGCTGCCGAAGTGGCAGCACCAATGCGGAAAGAATGAGGGGCGTAATCTGCTGCCGTCAAACCGCAAGCTGCAATCACTTTGCGCATTACCTTGGCAAATTGATGCCTGGCCAATGGGGCACCATTCTCGTGAATAAAGAAGGGACCCTCCCCCTTAGGCCTAAGGTTCAAATATTTGGAGGTATCCTTAACCGGGCAAGGACCTTTACCCCCAGCGGCGGGGAGCCTAAGAGTAGCACCCCTGCCTAACTGGCGTGTCTTTGAATTCCGGATAGATAGGACCACCTCCGAAAGGGATAGAGTTACGTCCTGCAAAAGCAAACCCCTAGACTCTCTGCCCCGGATGACCTCCAGTACCACCTCACCTACCCTCAGGGCACCAAAAAAGGCCAAAGAAAAGGCGGCTGAAAAAAGCCGCGCTTCATATCTGGACCAGCAGACGCTCCTCAACTTCGAGCGCATGCTGGTAAGCAAATCAAATGTTATAGGCTTTCTTACCAAAGGGGGTCGCACTCCAAGCCTCCCCCAACCTTCCAGAGCCCTGCGCACAACAAATTTGGCGCAAGGATCCTTATTAAAGAAAGCTTTACAGAAAAAGGAGATGGCCGCTGCTTGGATCCTGAGCGTTCTGGCCGCTCGACCCAATTGGAAAAGGTGCGCCAAATACTGCAGCACCTGTGAAGTAGAAGGAGATAACACAATCTCCATAGACAAAGACTGACGACAAAATTTTAAAAAGTCAGTCCAAGCTCGATTATATGAGCGCAGAGTGGAAGGTGAAATGGATGCGGCTACTCCCTGTAAGACTAATTGCTGCCAAGGTTCCAGAGATGATCCGGGAAATTTTCTGGCAGCAGATTCGCCTCTGGAGCAAGGGACCTGAACCGCTCCATCTGAAAACGGGACAGAGCATCAGCGATTTCGTTAGAAACGCCAGGGATGAATCGAGCTGAAAACACAATGTTAAAGCGCAGGCAATGCAAAACAAAAGCCCTGAGAAGGGCCGATACCCTGGCTGAACGGGACGACTGTTTTGCCAACACGTTCACAACGGCCTGGTTATCAGACCAGAAACAGACTCGATGGTCCTTGAATTCCTTGACCCACAGGTGCACTGCCACTGCAATGGGAAAGAACTCAAGAAAAGTTAAGTCCCGCGTAATAGGCTCCCCTCGCCACGATGGCGGCCAGGGCAATGCGCACCAACGACCTTTCCAGTATAGCCCAAAACCCAGAGAGCCTGCTGCATCAGAATGCACTTGGAAGTCATTATGGAGGTTCAAAGTGTCCTGCCATAATGACACCCCATTGAATTCATTCAAGAATTCAAGCCATAACTGCAAATCCGCCTTTGCACCAGGTGACAGTCGCGCCCGATGATGAGGGGCACGCAAGCCGGCCGTAAGCCTGGCCAGGCGCGCACAGAATGGGCGACCGGGAGCCACCACCCTGCATGCAAAATTAAGGTGGCCTAATAAGGACTGCAACTGACGCAATGTCACCTTACGTAATGGGAGCATCTCTTCTATTATCCTTCGCAAATTAACCAATTTGTCCTCAGGTAAGCGAGATGTAGATGCAACTGTATCCAATTGGATACCTAAATAAGTCAATTGAGTGGAAGGTCCCTCGGTTTTATCCGATGCCAATGGGACACCCAACTCCTCCGTAAGAGATGCGAAAGCCTGAAGCAGGGCCAAGCAGTCACCCGTGTCCCTCGCTGAGGCCAGTAAAAAGTCATCCAAAAAATGGGTCACCCCATCCAGGCCGGTTTTAAAACGCAAGGCCCAGTCGAGAAAAGTACTAAAGCACTCGAAAGCTGCGCATGAAATTGAGCAGCCCATGGGCATGGCTTTATCAAAATAAAATGCCCCTTCAAACTGGAACCCTAAAAGCCAGAAATCCTGAGGATTAATTGGCAACAAACGAAAAGCAGACTCAATGTCGCATTTCGCCAGCAGGGCACCTGTCCCAAATTTTCTGATCATCTTGATCGCATGATCAAGAGTAGCGTATTTTACTGAACAAAGCTCCGGGGGGATAGCGTCATTTACTGACGAACCCTTGGGGTGTGATAAGTTATGAATAAGGCGAAATTCCCCGGGGGCTTTCTTCGGAACAATTCCCAAGGGGGAGAGATGCAGATTAGCGAAAGGAAGAGCCAGGAAGGGGCCTGCCATACGACGTAAGGCAATTTCTTTCTCAATCTTTTTACGTGCCACTTCATGCCTTTCCCTAACTGACTGCTGATTAACCGGATTCCGTGCTACAGGAACCGTAGCTACCGGAATCCTAAAACCAGAAGAAAAGCCTTCCTGTAAATAAGCAGCTGCCTCACGGTTAGGGTAAAACTGCAACCAATGAACCAATTCTGGAAGCCGTACCGGCGTATAAGCTAAAACCATATCCGCCTCACTTAGAAGTGCCAGCTGCTGCTTGAGGGGGGGGCGCTTTTGCAGCTTGTGACCCCCCCTTTCCCCCACGAAAGGGCCGGCGGCCGCCAAAGCAAGTGGAGCCCGGGTGGTTGCCACCACATTTTTCGCAGACATGAGGAAACCTACATGATTGTCGCTGGCAAGAGCCTTTACTGTAATCCCAGCAATACAAGCGCTTTTTAAAACCTCCTGTTTTTGTCTTTTGAGGTTCAGGGGTCTTCTTTTCAAACTGAGGGGCCACATAAGTGGTCCATACATCCAAATCCCTCCGATCCCATCGGGCCGTGGGAATTTTTGCTGCCCTTCTTCTGAAATTCTCATCATAATCAAAGGCAGCATTCTGACCAGCCATTTCGAACGCCTTACGTACGATAGACTGGTAGACAATTAAATGAACCGCTCTCTTGGGATAACATGCTGAAACGATCCCGGCAAAAACCTGGAAACAATCCAACCAGTGCTCGAAGGTTCTATCCACTTTAGAATCAGCAGCCCGTTTCTTAGAGGATAGAACTGACTTCTCTTGGGCCTGCGAACTGTCTACTGGAGGGCTCAGTTTGAACATGTCGACATAGCGACCGTTCAATATCCTAGTTCTCAACTTCTTTGAAAGGTGACACCCTGGGATCACATCCCTAACCGAATTAGTCGACTTCTTAATATCAGGTAACAACACCCCATTTAAGTATTCCTGAGTGGCCCCATATTTTGCTCGATGGGAGTTGGCCCTCCGCTGCCAAATCCATTTGGGAAAACCAGAAGCCGATTCTCCCAGACCCCAATAAAATTCTGAGGAGGCCTCTGACTCAGACTCTGAAGTCTGTGATGTACCTGATGATGAAGAGGTGTCCCTCCGCCCTCTCTTCGCACGCTTTCCAGAAGACTTCTTGCGGCGGCGTGTGCCGCCCGAAGAGGACTTGGCTGGCACAGGTAGGCTGTCCTCCTCAGAAGACTCTGATGCTGGACCTTGAAGTGCAGTGCCTGGGACAGACTGAGAAGAGGTGGCAGGTGACTGATCAGAACCCACGGAAGTACTAGGTAAGGGTTGCAAAACTGACCCTGGCCTAGAAGACCCCCCATGCCTAGAAGGGGCCTTTCCCCGTCGCCCCCTCCCGGTTGTGCGCCGAGAAGGGGTTCTGCCCTCCCGCGTGTGACTAGATGCAGGGGCTGAGCCTGCATTCCTAGAAAACTGAGAATCAGAAAACAAAACACCAGACATGGGCAGATCATTTTCATCGCTAGATGCGGAATCAGAAGGTGAAGAAACTGCAGCCGCAGTGGTCACCGCCGGTTGCTGGCTAGGCCCGGCGCTACAGCGTTGGATCAGGCCATCTACTTCAGAAGCAAAGCGAGCCAAAGCAGCTGGATCACCCGCCAGGCTCGAAACCAAAGATTGCAGACGCCCTGAGGCTTGACCAGTCGAGGGGGATCGAAGCGACTGAGAAGGTCCCCGAATGGTCCTTTTAGGCGGAACGGTCAAGGCAGGCTGCGCTGGGACTCTCTTAGGAGACATGATGGCTACCAAGAAAGAGAAATATCAACACGAGAAAAGAAGTTAATGCACCCCAGATACCTGGCGATCACAAAATGAACCAAATTAAAACAGTAAGCTACTTAATTAAGGAGCATCCAATTAACCAGAAGGTGCCTTTTCCTTTATTGGCTACTAGCTGGCAGCAAATTAGCTTCCCTGTACTAAAATAAAACAACAGGCTGCAATGCACAGAATGTCCACAAAGTGGACAGTTAACATTCTAAAGTATTTCTTTATAATTAAATCAGGGAGGCAGCAATGCTCTGAATGGCCACCAGATGGCAGCAATTATGAGCCTGAATAAAGCAATAATAAAACAGGCTGCAGTGGCTCAGAACGGCCACTAGAGGGTGTGTGTGAGCAATTTAAATCAGGGAGGCTGCAATAAAGCAATAATATAACAGGCTGCAGTGCCTCAGAATGGCCACTAGATGGCCTGCGTGAGCAATTGAAGCCCGGAAAATGGCGTTCCCGCCAAAACGGAGCAGGGTAAGGCGGCTAAACACAACGGGCCTGCACCCAGGCCCAAGTTAGGCCGCGCCTGCCTCCCTGCAGCCCCGCCAGACACCAGGCCTCCCCGCTTCGCAGGGAGGGCCACCGAGGACAAAAGAAGGCCGAATCCGGCCTCAGAAATGGGCGGGGGCGGGGGGGGGGCTCGGGAAAGCCTAAGAAGGCCCAGCAGGGCCGGCGGCACCCCCGCTTTGGCGCAGCACCAGGCACTGCCGAAAAAGGCCCTTCGTCCAACCAGGAACCAGGCCTAGGCAGCTGCGCCCCTGCGTGAGGCCGGGCGAACGCCCCTGCGGCTGGGCGCACTTCGGAGAGGCCTAGTGCCTCTGAACGTTAAGGTAAGCTACAGTGGGGGGGGGGATAGGGGAAAATTAATAGACTAAGGGGGGTGGGAATGCAAGGGTAAAAATTTTAGAAGGAGAGGGGGAAAGTTAAAATAAAATTAATAATTATCACACAGAGAGGAAACTTAATCAAAGGACAAAATTAAGAATTAAATAGAGCTAATGCAATTAAAGCAGGTCAAAGACACAAGGATAAAGGGTAATTAGTAGAAAAATACAACCGTCTCCCTTCACTGTGATCAATCCGATGCACGGGCGAAAAGAGGAAGCCCTAGCCTCGTGCAAGGAGTTTTACTATTTCTGGCTGTCAATCAATAAATGGCAACATTAACTTCTTCCCAACAACAAGGGAAGCCCCAATCGCATCAGTGGCCAACGATCAATTAGCCCGCCTCCCAACTTTGGAGTGTCCTGGCGGCCCCCACCGCAACACGTGCTCTCCATGAAGGAGAACACGCTTTCCCAGCAGCCGGTGTTCAGGAACACAGCGCTACCAAAAATGGAGGCAGCGTATAGTCACGAGACAGAGGCAGACTTTGGGCTCTCAAATTGAAAAGGTGCAACGCTAAAATTCGGTGCCCCCTGCCTTTCATGCTCCGTTCTACAGCATTGTTGTGGCAACCCCTGCAGCGCAGTGCAAACGAATCGGTCACACCACCCTAAAACCACATCTGTACAATGACTGGTAGCCATTTTTAGCCTCATCCTCTGTGAATTTGCCCAGTCCTCTTTCAAAGCCACCCAAGTTGGTGGCTAACCCCACCTCTTGCGTGGATGAATGCCATAGTTTAACCATGCACCCTTCTGTTGTCGCGCTAAGCCTGTCGTTGACTTAAATCGTCATGGGAACCGGCCCACTGTCTCTTCCTCTCACCTTGCCTCACGAGATTATTGTTATAGTAAAGGAAAAGAAGTATAAACCAAATCCCTGTCCATTGAAGAGTGCTATAGAAATGAATTACCTCGCTAATAAAGCCCCGCATAATATATGGTTCCTTCTCTTTTCCCATTCCTCGAGCTTGCAAAGGGAGAAAGGCTGTGTTTATAGTGAAGGCGCTGATTTATTTTGTATTAATTTGAACGCATTACTTAGTAAGGGAATTTATTACCACCTCGTACGCACAAAAAGAGGTGCATGTGTGGGGGATATTGATATTTCTACCCCTGCTTGTGAGCAGGGAGGTAACAATGAATATGAATGATCAATAAGTGAATAAAAGCTGTTTAAACTTGCTAAGCATTTTAATTAGCAGCTTTTCGTCTTGGGGCCAGGAGTGCTGGAATGAGTGTGATGTTTCTTTCACAAAAGTATTGTTTAGTATTTGGGGGAGTGTTTGTTTATTTATTTACACCTGACCTTCTTTTCTGGTCTTCGTCTTCCATCATGTGCTTGGAGCATGAGAAGACATTGTTACAGGCAGCTAGTTTTTTCAGGGCTGCTCTGTACTAGGTGTAGACCCATCAAACTGACCCCAGTTCATCAGACACATATAGTAGCTTTCATCAGCCCAGGCAGCTACGAGGTTGATGCTTTGACCTGACTCTGGTCTCCAGATGGTAGGGAACTAACTACAAACCTCCATTTAACATTTCCCATTATGCCCTGGTGCTACATCAGGGAAGGGAAACCTCTGACCTTCAAGATATTGCAGGACGAACACTCCCATCATCACTCTCCTGCTGCATGGGGGCGATGGAGTCCAACAAGATCTGGTGAGCCAGAGTTAATTTGGGGAGGATTTTATACATGTGTTAGTCAATCAAGGCTTAGAGACACAAAATACAGGAAAATCTGATATATCGCAGACCTCAGGGAACAGAAATACAGAAAATGACAGCTGGTCCACCTGGTGACAAAATGTCTTTGTCTCCAGGATCACCATAGAGGAGAGATTTCTACGTTGATGGTCCAAAGGTAAGACACCACCAGAGAGGCAGACTTGAGCAGCCCAGTAGAGAATGCCCAGTTAGCTCCATCAGATTGTCTCCTCCTTCTGTCTCCTCTTGTCACCATAAGGTCCACACACCCATTCCTGATGCCCATGACTAGGTCACTGCTAGCCATCTCCTGCCTGCTGTAGTCTAGTGGTGATGCAGCAGTCCTGGGGAGATCAAATGTTCTCCTCCTAGATGATGATGGAGGGTTCTGGCTGTGGCACTAACCATGATGGGAAGGAGATGGCAAGATCTGTCAGAGGAAGAGGAACAAGAAGTTGGGTATGAGGAGAGCTTGACCAATGACTTAGGAGAGGGTCCCACTGCATTGCACAGGAGTGGAGGGGGAGCTGTCTGAGTCAGTCTCCATTCTGCCCTCTGAGAGTGAGGTTTCCATGGTACCCAATATAAGGCCAGTGGCAAACCAGTAGGGTCAGCCAAACTGGAAGTGGAATGAGAGTTAGAGTGTTGGACTCAGGTCCCAAGGACATGTCTTTGTCTGCACTGGTGCAAACAGTGCAAACAGACTTGGCCACTCACACACCCATAGGACTGCAAGCGCATCCATCTGTCATGGATGCTTTAGTTGAGATTATTGAATTAGAATCATAGAATCATAGAGTTGGAATAGACCACAAGGGACATCGAATCCAACCCCCTGCCAAGCAGGAAACACCATCAGAGCACTCCTGACATATGGTTGTCAAGCCTCTGCTTAAAGACCTCCAAAGAAGGAGACTCCACCATACTCCTTGGCAGCAAATTCCACTGTCGAACAGCTCTTACTGTCAGGAAGTTCTTTCTAATGTTTAGGTGGAATCTTCTTTCTTGTAGTTTGGATCCATTGCTCCGTGTCCACTTCTCTGGAGCAGCAGAAAACAACCTTCCTCCCTCCTCTATATGACATCCTTTTATATATTTGAACATGGCTATCATATCACCCCTTAACCTCCTCTTCTCCAGGCTAAACATGCCCAGCTCCCTTAGCCGTTCCTCATAAGGCATCGTTTCCAGGCCTTTGACCATTTTGGTTGCCCTCCTCTGGACACGTTCCAGTTTGTCAGTGTCCTTCTTGAACTGTGGTGCCCAGAACTGGACACAGTACTCCAGGTGAGGTCTGACCAGAGCAGAATACAGTGGCACTATTACTTCCCTTGATCTAGATGCTATACTCCTATTGATGCAGCCCAGAATTGCATTGGCTTTTTTAGCTGCCGCGTCACACTGTTGGCTCATGTCAAGTTTGTGGTCAACCAAGACTCCTAGATCCTTTTCACATGTACTGCTCTCAAGCCAGGTGTCCCCCATCTTGTATTTGTGCCTCTCATTTTTTTGCCCAAGTGCAATACTTTACATTTCTCCCTGTTAAAGTTCATCTTGTTTGTTTTGGCCCAGTTCTCTAATCTGCCAAGGTCGTTTTGAAGTGTGATCCTGTCCTCTGGGGTGTTAGCCACCCCTCCCAGTTTGGTGTCATCTGCAAATTTGATCAGGATGCCCTTGAGTCCATCATCCAAGTCGTTGATAAAGATGTTGAATAAGACCGGGCCCAAGACAGAACCCTGTGGCACCCCACTAGTCACTCTTCTCCAGGATGAAGAGGAACCATTGATGAGCACCCTTTGGGTTCGGTCAGTCAGCCAGTTACAAATCCACTGAGTGGTAGCATAGTCAAGACCCCATTTTACCAGCTTCTTTACAAGAATATCATGGGGCACCTTGTCAAATGCCTTGCTGAAATCAAGGTAGGCTACATCCACTGCATTCCCTTCATCTACCAGGCTTGTAATTCTGTCAAAAAACGAGATCAGGTTATTGCAGGGGGTTGGACTAGATGACCCCTGGGGTCCCTTCCAACTCTATGCTCTCACTAGGGGTGAGAACCATGCAACTGACTGGTCTTGCCACACTCTTTAAAAGTGGAGCTGTAGGGGTAGGTCAGATGTTGGGCCAGTGGCTTAGCTACTTCTTAGAGCTTGGTCAGTCTTATGAATCATGTGTCCTATACTATATAGCCATGCTCTGATTTCTTAAACAAAACCTTCAGGTTTCCTCGAGTTGAGAGTCATAAGTACTGTGTCCAAGAGGTGGGCTCCCTCCCACCTCCCAGAACTAGCTGGAGGTCTGGGATGGGGGGAGGCAGAAGTGATCAGGTGCAGCGTGCAATAATAGGTATATTATTATTATTATTATTATTATTATTATTATTATTATTATCATGCAACTGTAATACAACTCCATGAGTCATTGCACCAACAAGCAAAGATGCATATAATAATAATAATAATAATAATAATAATAATAATAATAATAATAATAATTTATTATTTATACCCTGCCCATCTGGCTGGGCTTCCCCAGACACTCT